TTGAGTGATTTGAAGATTTTGCTAGATGTTAAATTTGTCGGAAACGAAGAATCTGTTGATTGAAGGAATGATACTTGAAGAAAAGGGAGAGATTTGATAAATCTGATAACTTTCATTTAGCATCGAGGAGGACGTGTACAAAATTACGGAATTTTGAGGGAGTGTGAATGGATGGAAATCGATTTGAAATGACGCATTTCGAGAAATCTGAATGATTTGAAGATTTTGATAGCTTAAATTTGTTGGAAACAAAGATTCGTTATTGAAGTTTTATTGAAGGAATTCACTTGAAGACAGAATTAAAAAATTCATTTTCATTAGGAAGAAAGAGACTTGATAAATTCTGATAACTTCCTTTTGGCATCCTCATAAAATTACTTGTCTATCCTCATCCGATCGACGAGGACGTGTACAAAATCACGGATTCTTGGAAATTCACTGTCGATGCTTAGGGGAGTTTGCTTACGTGCGGCGGATGCGAAGGATGGAAAACGGGCGGGACGTGTACTACAAGTAAATTATGGCGACCGAATGTTGTTTTAGTCCTGCGGTTGATCCTGGCTGTGCGCGAGCGACGGAGAAACCGCCATCTTAATCGATGGCGAAACGGGACGGATGTTTGTATCGAAGATAAGGGTTGGCGCGATACAAAGATTTATACAGGGTTTCCGCTTGTACGAAGTTTCGAATTCACGTATCGATATTCGAAATTTCGAAAAAAAGTAAGCCACGATCTTTGTGTTGTGTTAAATGAAATTAAATTCCACGATCTCGGAGAGAATAGTTTTCTATTTTGAAAGATTATCGGCGCAAAAAAAAAAAAAAAAAAAAGAAAAAAAGAAAGAGAAAAAGAAAAGCAATCCTCAACAAATCTCTGTTCCATATCGAGGAAAGAACGTTCTCTCGTTACATACTCCTGTTAAACTGCCATAATCAAACACCGGCATTTGACGTAACGTTTCCTCCTCCTTAAACAACATCGTCGTCCCTTTCCTAGCGGAAGGAACTAAATTAATTAGCCTGTACGAAAACAAAGTTAGCCGGAGAGACGTGGTTTCTCGAGAGCGAGAGCAGTAGAGAGTAAGTAGAGTTTCCCTCGGCTTGGTCGGTTGGCTGGTAACGAAGCGGTGGCTCGAGGCGGCCTCATTCGGCCAGATAAGAAAGACAAAGGAAAAAAAATTAATCACGGGCCGGTGCGCAGAATCCTCCCTTTCCGGTCCATTTTCACGGCTCATTTTTCAAGGATCGCGATACAAGGATCGCGAAGAACGGCCATGAAACGCAGTGATTTTTCACCACCCAGTGAGAAATGGTAACTGCGAGTGTGTCCCGTCGTGTACGGCCGACTCTTACTCGTGTCTTTGCCGCGCCCACCGATCCTTCACCCGATACCCGGTGAATCGTCGGTGAACTGGCGGTGATCCGTTTCACCGGGGCTCGTGTCGCTGATCGAAAAGATTCCATCCTCTTTTTCGGTGGAACAGTCTCTCGCCCCAACTTTTCTCGAGTGCACGCTCTTTTTACTCGGAAACTACACTTCATACGTCAGCTTTCTTACTTGTTTCTCCTCCTGTTCGTCTTCGATTCGAACGACGACGGAAGTCTTTGAGATTTCTCGAAGGAAAATTTCTCGAATCAAGCGTGGTCTTGATCGAAAATCGCTTGGATCACGGTCACGGATAATGGATAATATTTGCGTTAAAAAAGATTTGGAAGAAAGAAAAGAGAAAATATATCTATCCTTTCGAAAATCTTCGATCGAAAATTGCTGGGAACGATCAAAGGTAGACGAGAAAATAAACGTTGAAACGATGGAAACGATCGAATATCGATGGAGGATAGGATTGGTTTAATAAAGGGCTGAGGGCAGGGGCCACTCGTTGACGAGCGTTGAAAATTCGATAATACGGTTAATAACGAGTCCCAACCGGTTAATTAGTGCCTAATGAATTTCGAGGGATAACGATAATAATAAATTATACGCAATAGGGTATAGGAGGCGATAGCCGACGCTGCGGTTTAAGCAACAGTCGGCACGATTACGCTTCGGCCCCGGCTATTGATCACTCATTAATGAAACGATCGTCTGATACGTTCGCCGAGTTTCTACCGCGCTCAAGTATCATACACCTCTCGCACGCACTTGACAGCTCAATATTTCATCGTGGTCATCCGGCCTCGATACACCACACCGTGGACGATTACATCAACCCGTTATTGCTGGCAGGATACTGGCGAATCGGTCACGACTAATATTAATCTTGATCCAAATAATGCACCGGGTTTAATCGCGATAACGATCCCCCCCCCCCCCAATTTCCGAGAGTTATTTTTTTTTTTTTTTCGAAATTTTCTTCCACTCTTCAATTTTTCCGCACAATTCGATTCTATTGTTTTCGTTGTTCGTAACGATGCTCGAGACTCGATGGAATTTGATTTTCCATAAATTGTTTTTAGAAACATATTTGCGATATCGAATATTTTGTAAAAATATTTCCTCCCCTTTTGATTTCTACCTGATATTTCGTTCTTCTTTTTCTGATCAAAATTCACGTGATGGATAAATTTGAAGAATTTTTTAAAAAAGTAATCAATTTCTCTATCTTCTCTATTGTCATCAAATTAATAACAATTAAATCGATAAATTATTCTCTTCTTTTCCTTTGATCGATAACCTTTGTAAACAAACAGAGAATTCATAGCCAGAGAGAGAGAGAGAGAGAGAGTGGGATCTCCTCTGTTTCTTCTTATTCATCGAATTCTTATCGATACATTTGAAGGGAGCGCGTAAGAACGCGTTCGTTCGAGAAGAATACAATAAGAATCCGATAGGAAATGCACGTTTTTCTTTTTTCGACCACCTACATCGAGACACGTAGCCATGTAGATTCCGTAGAGATTCAAGGAAATATGGAGATTCGAACGAATTCGTTCTCGAAAAGAGGAAGATATCACGTCTCACCTTTGTGAAAAAGCACATTTTCCTTCGTCATTGCAATTTCACGCCTTGCTTTGACGCAAATTTACCCGATTTTCCCCGGTTGATTCGCGCGATTCTAATTCATTAAACGAATGTTCGCTGTCATTTATTCCTAGAGGGTTTAGTTTACATAGTCTCTTCCCGTTTCACGGTTACACCTTTCGAAATTATCCTTTTTCTTTTCTGCCCCCAACCATCCTCGCTACATTTTCGCGCACGCTTCTTTTGAACCATAGCGAAGCGCTGAAACACTCCTAATTAGCTTAATTAGTGCTTTCACATTACCTTCAAATGCTAATGGAATTATGCCAGCGTTCATCGTTACGTTACGCGGCAAAAAAATGCGGCGCATGGAGCGAAGAGGAGAGAGAGAGGAGAGAGAAATAAGAGATCGACAGAGAGAGAGAGAGAGAGAGAGAGAGAGAGAGAGAGAGGAGT